CCTCAGCTCGGGCATTCAAAATATGGCACACGACTGCTGTTCTGGGAACACGAAGATCACGAAGTGGCCTACAGTTGGCCCCGGGTAATCAAAATATTGTACAGGAGTGGTGTTCTGGGAACACGAAGAACACGAAGTGGCCAGTTGGCTCCGGGCATTCAAAATGTGGCCTGGGAATGGTGTTCTGGGAACACGAAGAACACGAAGTGGCCTACAGTTGGCCCCGGGCATTCAAAATGTGGGCTGGGAATGGTGTTCTGGGAACACGAAGAACACGAAGTGGCCGACAGTTGGCTCCGGGCATTCAAAATGTGGCCTGGGAGTGGTGTTGTGTTGGCTCCGGGCAATCAAAATGTGGCCCCTGGCAATGAAAATGGAGAGTCCCCGGTTTTCCCCGGCATCACCCGGATCCTGTCCAGACCCCCCTGGGGAATCATGATGCTGTCTTTTGACCCCACTGGAAACCTATCAGTCTTCGCTGTTAGGTAACAAGCATAAACACAAACTTTTGGAGTTCCGCCTGGATCGATGACACCTACGGCGAATCACCGCCGCCCCCTGCCTTTTTAAAAGCGCCTATGTGGCCGAACGTTGTGGCCAGAGCTCGGCCAAGCTATCGGACTATGTGTTCCCCCGGCCGTTGTGGAAACCCTTCGGGGAAGACGTAAGGAAATTAGCCTGGCGAAAGACCCAACCATACGCAGTTGTGACTACCGCAATTGTGAATAACATCTTCGCCCGCGCTCCCGATGTGGCCACAACTTCCCGCCGGAGCCCGACATGCTCAGGGACACGTTCATGGCCGTCTTCGCGGGCGCCGACGACGACGAGGACGGCGCCCCCCTGACCGAGGAGCAGAAGCAGGAGAGGGCTCTAAGAGCCATGAGGGAGGCTGCCACTGGGGCCTTCGGTGGAGCTCCTATGGGGCCACGATCCTCGTGAGGGGTGTGCCGAAATGGCCCGAGGCCGCCATGCGAACGCAGCCACTGGAGCCTTCGGTGGAGCTCCTATGGGGCCACGATCCTCGTGAGGGGTGTGCCGAAATGGCCCGAGCCGCCATGCGAACCCTGCCACTGGCGCCTTCGGTGGAGCTCCTATGGGGCCACGATCTTCGTGAGGGGTGTGCCGAAATGGCCCGAGGCCGCCATGCGAACCCTGCCACTGGCGCCTTCGGTGGAGGCCACGATCCTCGTGAGGGGTGTGCCGAAATGGCCCGAGGCCGCCATGCGAACGCTGCCAATTGGGCCTTCGGTGAAGCTCCCTATGGGGCCACGATCCTCGTGAGGGGTGTGCCGAAATGGCCCGAGGCCGCCATGCGAACGCAGCCACTGGAGCCTTCGTGGAGCTCCCTATGGGGCCACGAAATGCTGTACTGGGTGTGCCGAAATGGCCCGAGGCCACCATGCGAACGCAGCCACTGGAGCCTTCGGTGGAGCTCCCTATGGGGCCACGATCCTCGTGAGGGGTGTGCCGAAATGGCCCGAGGCCACCATGCGAACGCAGCCACTGGAGCCTTCGGTGGAGCTCCCTATGGGGCCACGATCCTCGTGAGGGGTGTGCCGAAATGGCCCGAGGCCGCCATGCGAACGCTGCCACTGGCGCCTTCGGTGGAGCTCCCTATGGGCCACGATCCTCGTGAGGGGTGTGCCGAAATGGCCCGAGGCCACCATGCGAACGCAGCCACTGGAGCCTTCGTGGAGCTCCCTATGGGGCCACGATCCTCGTGAGGGGTGTGCCGAAATGGCCCGAGGCCACCATGCGAACGCAGCCACTGGAGCCTTCGGTGGAGCTCCCTATGGGGCCACGAAACCCGTACTGGGTGTGCCGAAATGGCCCGAGGCCGCCATGCGAACGCAGCCACTGGAGCCTTCGGTGGAGCTCCCTATGGGGCCACGATCCTCGTGAGGGGTGTGCCGAAATGGCCCGAGGCCACCATGCGAACGCAGCCACTGGAGCCTTCGGTGGAGCTACCTATGGGGCCACGAAGCGCTGTACTGGGTGAGTGAAACGCAGGGAGGAGAGGGGAGGAGGGGGAGGAGGGGGAGGAGGGGAGGAGGAGAGTATGAGAGGAGACGCGGGCCACCGTCTCTTCAAAACGATGACCCAACACCACAGGATGGTTGGGAAAAAGAGAGGAGAGGGATGATAAAGGAGGATGCCTCATGGGAGCCTATTGGGGCACTCGTGGGATCTCCAGTGAGCTTCCTGGGAGTATCTCAGAGGCCTCTTGGGGACCTCCTTGGGTCTCTGTTGATTGCTGCACTTACTGATAAGCAGGGAGCCAATCAGTTACAGGACAGCGAAGCAGTCGACGCGCCAAACGCGCGCCAACCAGCAAGCCAAATAATAACGGTCATTAGAATCACCAACGAATGCGATTCTGAAGCAAGTTGTTAGTTGTCTAATTCGGTCTGTTGGCGGACGTCCATCTCATCCTATTCCGGACACGCGACTTCTTCATGCACATGCGACCAAGGACAATTTCCACCCGATTGTACGATCTCAATCCTTTTGGATGCACGGGTTCGTAAAACAGCCCAGCCAAGGTGCGCTCTGCATAGTGGCCCTCCACGATGCTGTCACCGCGAAAACGCTGTCCACCAGCCGCGGCCAAAGAGAAGCATTAATCCTTGGTTCCCTGGTTCCTCGGTCTTGGTTCCTTGGTCTTGGTTTCTTGGTTCCTTGGTCTTGGTTTCTTGATTAATTGGGCTTGGTTGCTTGATGTCTGTGCCTTGGTTCCTTGATCCTTGATATTGGTTCCTCGTTTCCTAGGTCTTGGTTCCTTGGTTCCTCGTTTCCGTAACGGTGGTTGTTTAGTTCCTTGGTATGGGATCCGTGTTTCCTTGGTTTTGGCTCTGTGGCTCCTCGGTCTGAATTCCTCGGTTCCTTGGTCTTGATTCCATGGTTCCTTGGCATCGGTTCCTTGGTTCCCTGGTCGTGGATCCTTGGTTCATTGGCCTTGGTTGCTTGGTTACTTGGCCTTGGTCCCTTGCTCGTGGTTTCTCGGTTCATTGGTCTTGGTTCCTTGGTTCATTGGCCTTGGTCCCTTGAGTCCGGGGCTCCTCGGTTCCTTGGTTTTGGTCCTCGAACCCTGGGTCTCTGTGAAATACTTGCCACACGCTTACTCGTAATTCACTTGGGGGGCCCTGTCGGGTTTATTCAAACTGGGGATCTCGCCTGAATGGCAGGGGCTCACAGGGCGCTGGTCTTTCAAGGGGCCGCTTCTCGTAGTGAAACGAACGGCCTGTAGGGGCTCATGGGGGGACTTGGGGCTTCTCCTGCTCATCGCCCTCCTTCCGCGAGGCTCGTACCAGCGAGCCTCGAATTCACGCGGCGGGCGAGGCCACTCGCCGAAAACGACGGCTCCGCTCGCGGACACACCTCCTGGCCGCTCCCGAGGTCCCCTCGGGGACGGCGAGGGGGGAGGGGTGCGGCGATCCCTCGCGTGGGAGCCTCGGGGGCCGGTGCACGGGAGGGATGGGATGGGAGAGGGGAAAAGCAGGAGCGGGAAGCGGAGGGGAGGGAAGCACCGGAATCAGAAGGGGATGGAGGCAGGGAGGGAAGGAGGGATGGGGGGGCAGGAGAAGGGTGGGAAGGGGGGGAGGGACCCTGGCCCTGCCTTGGAAAGAGCTCTGACGTTCCGACCAGGGTCGCGTCGAGGGGAGTCCAGCCGTAGCGGCAAGGACCCCCCAGGAGGCTCCAAAGTTCGAAAGACGCTGCAAGACTAAAACATGAGTACCCCTGCAGCTAGAGGCCCCCAAGACGGTCCTCCAGACTGCCCAGGAGACCTCCAAGACACCCCAAGAGGCCTCTACAAGCACTCCCGAGAGGGCCCCAGGAGGCAACATTCACTGATTTGTTGTAGGTCTTGGAAAAATTTGGGCGTTCTCGCCTGTTCCGCTTCCCGCCGCTCCAAGACAGCCGAAGAGGCCCTCAAGATCGCCCCAAGACGGCCCAAGAGGCTTCCGAGAGCGCTCCAAAACATTCCAAGATTTCCCCAAGACAGCCCCAAACGCCTCCAAGACGGCGCAAGAGGCCCCCAAGACGGGCTCCAAGAGCGTGCCCAGACGAGGGACCCGAACAGACTTTTCGAGCGCTCGGCCCCGAGAAGCTCCCAGGAGGCCCCAAGGTCCCAAGAGGCCCAAAACAGGCCCCCAGGACACCCGAAGAGGCCACCAAGAGGCCCTCAAGAGGCCCCCAAGAGGCCCCCAAGAGGCCGCAAAATTCCTCCCCTGAGGCCCCCGAGAAGCTTCCCAAGAGACCCCAAGAAGCATCCCTGAGGACTCGGGCCCACGTCAGCGTCATCGTCGTCCGCCGCCACCGCCGCCGTCGTCGCCGTCCACCTTCAAAATCGGCGGCAGCGGCCGCAAGGCCGCCCCAGACACGAAGAGGACACGAAGAGGGCACCATGCATGTCGCAGGGTCGACCCACTACCAAAAAGCTCGGAACACGCATGGCTGAGCTCACACATGGCACATCTGGAGCGAACGCGCTGGATCCGCATGCGGAAGCCTGGCCCACGCGGCCATAGAAAGGCCGAGCGCTGGAAAGACATCCGGCCAAACGAGTACGCAGTGTCCAGGCCAGACGCGGCATGCGTAGATGGTCGGGAACTTTTGCTTAGCGTGTCGCCGCGGCGGCCCCGGCCGCGTGTCGCTACGCTACGCGGGGCGGGCGTTGGGGAGGCGCTCGGGAAGTGGACGCTTGGAAGTACGGACGTGGACAGCGTGTCGCGCCGAAGGGTAGTGGACCAGAGCAGGCGGCGCCATACGCTAAGCCAAACAGCCTGGCCGCGTGAACTTCCTGGTGATCAGACCCGACAGCGCGTGGAGAAGACTCCAGGAGAGTGAGGATGCACGGCTGGTTCCAGGAGGACTGTTCCTCTGTCCCCTCCCCCCTTCCTGCTTCTGCTGCCAGCTGCCTGCTCCTCCTTCTTCTCCTGCCAGAGCCTCTTAAGATGGGGGGCGACGGCGACGACGGCGGCGACTGGGCGAAAGGCCTGCGCGCGCAAGCGCCGCCGGGCGGCGCGACGGCGCCAACTTGGGGGGATCCTCGCTCGGGCGCTCCTCCCTCTGACCCTCTCTCTCCCTCTCCCGTTCCGGATCCGTTTCTCTCGCCTATCTCTCTCTCTCTCTCTCTCTCCCTCTATGTATAGAACATCGAAGGTTGAGAGACAAGACCGAAGTAGAGCGGAATCGCTCAGCTGGGAGCCGGCCCCGGTTTCGGTTCGTGACGTGGCGAGGCGAAGCAGCGCGAGTTCCTGCACGAGCCAGGCCCCAGTCGCGCCAAAGTATACCGCCTTCTTGCCCTCTGGGGCGTGCGCGGAATCGCCCCGCGGTTATCCTGTGGCTCGCCCGTGTGCGCTGGGGTGTGCGACGGGCTGTCCCGCAATTGTCCCATGGATTTCCCGTGGTCGCCCCGTGGTTGTCCAAATGATAATCCCAGTGGTTGTCCCAGTGGTTGCCCCAATGGTTGTCCCGATGGTTTTCCCGATGGTTGTCCCAATGGAGGTCCCAATGGTTGTTCGATGGTTGTCAAATGATTGCCCCGATGGCTGTCCCGTAATTGTGACGTATCCCATCGATTTCGCTCGAGCCCCGCAACCCGTCACTCCTGTCTGCAATTGCGGGGCTCAGGTATGCGCGACTCTGAACCGCATCGTGGCTGTTCGCGAGAAAATCGACTACTAGAACAACATAGGGTCTCCTATGCTCCGCCGGAGGCGACTCAATATTTGCAATCGGCCGTGGCACTCCCAATGCAGACCTCTTACCTGCACATCTCACTGCCCATCCTCCTTCTGCGCGGGGGATGACGTCCAACGTATGTCGCGTAAATCCAGCGGCCTCTTTCCAATCGAGTCGTGTTCTTCACGATCATCCGTATTCTGCTCTTCCCGCTCCTCCACCGCCTGCTCCTCACCCACCCCTATCGTTACAGTATTCCATCTGCCACCCAGCTGGCTGATTAGGGGCCAGATCTGGGCCATTCCATCCTGCACATAGAAGCATTCCAAAGTTTTTGTCAGAGGGAGAAGTTCGGCGGTGGACAAACCTCCCTTTAGTAACCCACCCTTTAGTGAAAGCGGCCTATGACCGAAACCGACGGACCTGGACCCGCAGAAATGACGGCCGCGACGCCCTCTCGAGAACCGAAAACGGCCAATTCGCTAATCGACGTGTCAGGGCAGGAGGTATATCCACCTCCGAAGTTTTTGAAAGAGGGAGAAGTAGCGGACAACACCTCAGCAGAACACCTCGATGAGGAAATCCTGGGGGCTCTGCCGACGCCCGTAACATTGATGCTTGGCTTTCGACGTTGCGGAATGCGAGGCAGAAACCAAACGGGGCGCACAAAGGCGCACCAGAGTGCGATACGTCACTCTCGCCTTGGCGCCGCGCAGACTTCTTCCGAGAACTGCACTCCCGGTGGAGCGCGGCGCGAATTTCCGATCGCCCACCTGTCGACCACGCGGTCTCGCGCTAGTGGGCACGTGCACACCTCGCCCGAGCGCCACTCGGATTGCGCCGCAGGGTAGCGTTCCCGCCTGCTTGTCTCTCGCCCGATCGTCGGGAGCGGGCCCACGCGCGAGCGGACGAGCTGTTGCTCTCGCCCAGGCCGCGCAGATTTCGCAGGGGTGCGAGCGCGGGATTCCCGCTCGGGCGCGGCGTAGCACCGTTCACCGAGTCGCCAGGAGGTGGCAACGGGGCCGCGCGCGAGCGAGCAACATGCTGTTCTCGTCGAGTCGCCGCGCAGCGCTTGCGCGAGAGTGGCGGTGCTGCTTCGGCGCGGCGGGTGCCCTGTCGCCGCCGATCATCCTCGGACCCCTGGCCGCGCCAACATGGGCCAAGCGGTGCCCTCGCCGCAGCGCAGCACAAGGAGTGTCCGGAAGTTCCGCTCCCGCCCGTCCCACTCGCCGAGAGGCTGGACGCGGGACCGAGCGCGAGCGCTTGCCGCTGTTACCCACGGGGGAGCGCGTCAGTCCCAGCACCGCACTGTCTCGTAGGCTCCGGGGGGGGAGGGTGCTGAGCGGGCGCTGGCCCGACACGCGTCCGACCTGGCTAGCCCGCCTCCCCCTCCTTCTCCTGCTCCTCCTCCCCCTCCCCCTGCACCTGCCCCGATTCCCCCTCCACACTCAGTCAATAGGAGTATCACTCTCCTCTCTCCCCCGAAGATGGCTGGAGAGTGCCCCGCTCGCCCCCCTTGCATCGTGGTTGACACTCCGGATTCCATTGATTGGTCTTTCCTCTTTCTTTTCCCAACCCTCCTGTGTTGGGCACTCGTTTTGCATAGAGCAGTGTGGTCGCCCCGTCCTTCCTTCCTTCTCCTCCCCTCTCCTCCCCTTCTCCTCTCCTGTTACCTGTGATCCCCTCTCCTCTTCTCTCGTGCCGTCGGGCTGCGATCTGCGCAACTGTCGCCATTTTCGTAGGATCCTGAGAGGCCCAGCGGAGGTACGTCCCACGCGGACCACCTCGGTCCCTCGCCGCCCCCTGGGGGGCTTGCGATCTGCGCAACTGTCGCCACTTTCGTGGGCTCCTGGGATGCCCAGCGGAGGTACGCCCCACGCGGACCACCTCGGTACATCGCCGCGCCACGGGGGGGCTTGCGATCTGCGCAACTGTCGCCATTTTCGTGGGCTCCTGGGAGGCGCTGCGGAGATACGTCCCACGCGGACCACCTCGGTACCTCGCCGCCCCCTGGGGGGCTTGCGATCTGCGCAACTGTCGCCACTTTCGTGGGCTCCTGGGAGGCGCAGCGGAGATACGTCCCACGCGGACCACCTCGGTACATCGCCGCCCCCTGGGGGGCTTGCGATCTGCGCAAACGTCGCCACTTTCGTGGGCTCCTGGGAGGCCCAGCGGAGGTACGTCCCACGCGGACCAACTCGGTACCTCGCCGCCCCCTGGGGGGCTTGCGATCTGCGCAAACGTCGCCACTTTCGTGGGCTCCTGGAGGCCCAGCGGAGGTACGTCCCACGCGGACCACCTCGGTACCTCGCCGCCCCCTGGGGGGCTTGCGATCTGCGCAACTGTCGTCACTTTCGTGGGCTCATGGGAGGCCCAGCGGAGGTACGTCCCACGCGGACCACCTCGGTACCTCGCCGCCCCCTGGTGGGCTTGCGATCTGCGCAACTGTCGCCACTTTCGCGGGCTTCTGGGAGGCCCAGAGGAGGTATGTCCCACGCGGACCAACTCGGTACCTCGCCGCCCCCTGGGGGGCTTGCGATCTGCGCAACTGTCGCCACGTTCGTGGGCTCCTGGGAGGCCCAGCGGAGGTACGCCCCACGCGGACCACCTCGGTACCTCGCCGCGCCCTAGGGGGCTTGCGATCTGCGCAACTGTCGCCACTTTCGTGGGTTTTTGGGAGGCCCAGCGGAGGTACGTCCCACGCGGACCACCTCGGTAACTCGCCGCCCCCTGGGGGGTTTGCGATCTGCGTAACTGTCGCCACCTTCGCGGGCTCCTGAGAGGCCCAGCGGAGGTACGTCCCACGCGGACCACCTCAGTACCTCGCCGCGCCCTGGGGGGCTTGCGATCTGCGAAACTGTCGCCACTTTCGTGGGCTCCTGGGAGGCCCAGCGGAGGTACGTCCCACGCGGATCGCCTCGGGCCCTCGCCGCCCCCTGGGGGTGCCTGCGATCTGCGCAACTGTCGCCACTTTCGTGGGAGGCCCAGCGGAGGTACGTCCCACGCGGACCACCTCGGTCCCTCGCCGCCCCCTGGGGGGCTTGCGATCTGCGCAACTGTCGCCACTTTCGTGGGAGGCCCAGCGGAGGTACGTCCCACGCGGACCACCTCGGCACCTCGCTGGCCCCTGGGGGGCTTGCGATCTGCGCAACCGTCGCCTCTTTCGTGTGCTCCTGGGAGGCCCTTTTGTGTTCACTTGTTGGTCGCGTTTCTTTCAATGCCCCTGTGTTTCCATTGTGTGTATTGCCGTTCCTCTTCCTGCTGCGCTCTTCTGAAATCACTGCTGGGTGCTCTCCTTGCGCACTGCAGGTTCTTCATAATGCCAGTCAGCATTGAGTAATCCTGAGTAGATTCGCCACATATATAGAAAAGGTTGGGTACGTCACAGGGTAATTTCCATCGGAACGTTTCCTGTGTCTCAAGATGGCTCTCCGCAGTGGGAGTGGATGGGTGGAATGGGTTACCGGACGCATGCTAACATGGATTTGTGATCCGTGGATCTGGTGCGTGGGCGCCGAATCCATGGATCGGGGAGGGTGCCCCCGACGCGTAGGGCCAGTGCCGCTTCATTTGGTGACAGCGCGCGCCAATTTGGACCCGTCGCTATTCCACGCGCCGTAATAATCCATGTTGGCGTTCCCTCGAGGCTAGGACGTCAGGTATGGCGCGAGGGCACCTACTTGGCCTGCCCCCCTGCCTCTCGATCCCTGCCCGTCCTCCGCCCGCGCGCCCGGGAGAAGAGGGGCCTACCCAGAAACGGCACTGCTGGCAGCCGCCGCGCGCACCACGCCGAGCTCCGCCGCCGCATCCCGCCCGCTTTCCACGCCGCCGTCCCAGAGGTACCGGGGAGTCCCCCCCTGGGGGCACGGGGGGGGGGGGGAGAGAGTTTCCGGCGTCCCCCTCCAGAGGAGGTAGGTTCGCGGCGGTCGCGCGTGGGGCGTGCAGCAGGCGGAACAGACAGCATAGGCGTGAGCCTCCAGTCTGTGCCCGACCGACTGCCGCCTTCCCCGAAGGGGGGAAAGCAAGTACGCACCACCCCGCAATTGCGGACAAGAGTGGGGGGGAGCGGGCGCGAGGTGGGTCGCGGGTGGGTCGCGGGCGGGTCATGGGGCGAGTCGCGCGTTCGGCCCCCTCACTCTGGCCGACACCGCTGTTCCACGGATCTCTCCTGGGGCGCAGTCCGACCAGAACCTCGGGGGGAATCCAGCCGTGGCGACGAAAGCTCTCCAGGACAGGGAGCGGCATCGGTATCTGGATCATCCTCTGATCCCCCATCCGCCGTGTCCAGCACCACCACGTCGAAGGCTTCGCCGCGCTCAGCGGCGCCTTAGTGGGCCCGGGACACGTCAAGGCCGTGCGTACTGTGTCCAAAAAACTGGACAGTGAACATGAGACTTGAAAGAAAAACTGCTCGTCATAACGGAACACGCAAAACGGTTCATACATTCGAGCCGGGAAAAGAGCAAGACACATCAACGGCCACGGAACCGGCAACAACAATGGCGACGGAACCAGCAACAAAAACTAAAACACGGAACCGATAACATAAACCGCCCTGCCGTCTCTAGGGGCGCAGCGTAAATCATGAAACCATTCAAACACGAGGCCAAACCGACATCATACAGCAATGGCCCGCGGAGGCGAGTCGAAGATAACCCAGCGAATTGCGGCACCGGTCGAGGGGTGGCGACAATCTGCCAGACGTTCCTGATCCATGCGACGCGCAAATGCGACAAGCACTCGACCGCGGGAGCATCGAGTTCCCTGGAAGATCTCAGGGCCCACTAAGCGCGGCGCCCCGCAAGAACTCCCCCGCGTCCGCAAGCTGCAACCGCAGAGGGCGGGCCCCTGCCCCTCCCCCGCGTCCGCAAGCCCGCGGCGGGCGCAGGCTCGGCAGCAAGGCGGGAGGTGAGGGGGCCAGCGCGGCGAGGAGGGGCTCCTCTCTAGCCCCCTCCTCCCTCCTCCTCCTCCTCCTCCTCCTCCTCCTCCTCCCTCCTCCTCCTCCTCCTCCTCCTCCCTCCTCCTCCTCCTCCTCCCTCCTCCTCCTCCTCATCCGCCTCATCCCCCTCCCCGTCCTCCCTCCTCCCCTCCCTCCCTCCCCCCCTCCTGGCCAGTCGCGGGGATGGCGCCCCCGCTTGTTCTCTAGGGACCACCCAAAGGGGGGCCGTCCAAGGTGCAGCGCGCCCTGGGCCAGCCTCGACGCTGGCCGAAGGCTGCCGGCGCACTCTCTGCCGGCCAGCCAGCGCGCAAGGGGCAGGGGAGGGGGGGGGGGAGAAGGGGCAGGGAGAGGAGGGGGGAGGGAAACGGGGGGCGGTGGCGGTCGTGGGGGTCTTGAAGGTGGTGGCCGTGATCCTAGTGGTGGGTGGCGGTCGTACTGGTTGCGGTCGTGCTGGTTATGACCGCGGCGTTCGTGTTGGTGGTCGGCCTTCTGGTGGAACTGGAGGTCGTGGCGGTCGTGCTGGCGGTGGTCGTGCTGGTGGTCGGTCTGCTGGTGGTCGGGTTGGTCGTGCTGGCGGGCGTGCTAATTAGTGGTTTGTCGTGCTAGTGTAGGTCACGCGGTTGGCAGTCGCGGCGGACTACTGCCCGAGGGCGCTGAAGACCATCTCGGCGCTGCCCGTCTGTAGGGTCGCCGAGATCTTGCGCCAGAGGCGGCCCGAGAGCTCTCCCGCTCGTCCTCCTCCAGGTCGGCGCCGTAGCTGCGCACGAAGGCCGCAGCTTCTTCGGAGGGCCTCCCCGTGGCCTCAAACACCACGGGGATGAGGTCGAGCCCTTGTCGCGGGGGGTACCGCGCCCTCTTGCTGTCGACCTCCTGGACCGCCGCCAAGCTGCTCTTGTGCTGCTGGGCCTGTTTGCGCGGGGCATACGTTGAGTGTGCGCAAGCCACGGCCCAGACCGCAAAGATGTGGCGTCCGGTGTTGTGGTCGACAGTGGCCACGTCGAGCTCGGCCTCCTCGAGGCGGTCTTTGGGGAGGCGACGATCCCACCCTGGCGCGTGTTGCTCAGTGGGGGCAACGTATGCGGTGAGCGCTGTGTGTCGCTTGCATCGCCAGTCCCGCAGCCGGCTGTGCTGGTCGTTCCGGAACTCCCCCACTTCGCATTTTCTCGCGTGCCACCCCTTCCGTTCAAGTGGCTGGTTACAGGGTTGCCCAGTGATCTTGTCCTTGTGCTTGCACAGGGCCCCCTCTGGGCAGACGGGCATGTCCAGCCGCATCTTCAGATTCATGCGGAAGTGCTTGTCTGGTTGCGGGGCGTCGCCGGCGCGTCGGGGCAGCACGAGGGGCACCACCCCAGTTCGTCCGGCCGAACGCAGCGAGAGCGTCCAGCAGCGTGTCCAGGAATCGTCTCTTGCTAGCCTCCGAGGCGGCTTTCCCCCAGTGCCCCTGCCGTTTGTGCTGCGGTTCCCGCACGTAGTCGAGCAGGTTTTGTGGCTCTCCTCCGAGCGCGCCGGCGTCCTGGAGCGCCTGCTTTGCCTGGGCGAAGGCCTGCGGGGTGCGCAGGCAGCGGGCGCGAAGCTCCTCCAGGGTGCTGACCCATAGGCAGGTGGCCACGTCGTGCAGGCAGAGGGCCCAGCTAGCGGTGTACGCGGCCAAGGCTTGAGCGGCGGAAGGGAAAGCACACCCTCCGTCGGAAAGGCGCAGAATGACTTGCAGGCGCCGCGCATCGCCCAGGGGCTCCGTGAGGAGGTTCTCGAGCGCGGCGAACAGCACGTCGTCGGGCTCCCGCACCCAGCCTGTCCGCAGGTTCGCCCTGAGGCGGTGTGGGGCCCATCCCCGCCCGCAAGTGCACGGAAGCTGGACGCCCAAATCTCACCAGCCCTGTGGACGTACGTGGTCTAACGAGATCATTCTTTCCTCTTCCACAACCCCTCTTCCCTTCGGGGAGGGGTACCCTCCTCATCACCTCCCTGAGGGTTTTGGGGGGGCGCGAGCGGCGAGGGAGCCCAAGATGGTCCAAGATGGCTCCTACGGGGCCTCCGAAGCTCCAAGATGGCCTCCAAGATGGCTCAAGATAGCCGAAGATGGCTCAAGGTTGTTTCCAACATGCCTCCAAAGGGCCCCACGAGGGTCACAAGACGAATCCAAGTGCTCTCGGCCCCCCCACAAGACTCCCTCCCCCTAGAAGCCAGCATCCATCAAAGCCATACGGGAAATCACTCATGCTTGCCTTCTTGCCTTCTCGTTTCCGATGCGCTTCTCAAGCCTCAAGATGACCCTAAAACGGCCTAAGAGAGCCGCAAGAAGGAGTCCAAGCAGCCCCCCAGGCGGCAGCAAGAGCGCCCAAGAGCGCCCCACGAGGGCTCCCAAATGCAAAGTTAAGGGCCCAACGGGATGACGATCGGGACCTCCCTCCTTCGATCGAGGCCTCGAGAGGCGCTCCAAGATGGCTCCCAAGAGGGCCCCAAGAAGGCCCCAAGCCGGCCCCAAGAGCGCCAAAGAGCGCCCCAAGAGCGTCCCACGAGGGCCCCAAGATGCGGTGTGCTTCCTCTTCCTCCTCCTCCTCCTCCTCCTCAACCTCCTCCTCCTCCTCCTCCTCATCCTCCTCCTCCTCCTCCCCTCGCCCCCATGGCGAGCTCTAGGGAAGGCCCGAAGAGGGCATCCAAGTCAACCCCCTTGCTCCCAGAGATCTCTCTGTTCATCCTAGTTACCTGCACTGTTTCACAATCTGTGTATCTTCATCCTTTGCCCCCCCGACTCTCATGGGCATGGTTTCTGAACGGGCTAGCGGGGTTACGCGAAGCTGGAATAATTCGAACAAGTATCAAGCGCGCCAGCCAACAGAGGGCAACGCAGGCTTTCCACGACCGTTCACTTTGACAAACGGTCACATAAACTCGGAGGCCCTGCAAACTTGGAGCAGCGCCCAGGCGGCAAGCCACAAGCAACGAGATGAAGATGCGAGCGGTAGCGAACACCCAAACACGTACATCCGGCGATCGTAAGCCAGGCCATGATGCTGGATACCGCTCGATGGAACATGGATCAAAGAGCTCAGCCAGATTCAGAAGCACCGAAATGACAGGTTTTATAACGGAGGAAATGGAGAGAAGAGGAGGAGAGATGAGACAGGAAGAGGACATAAGAGAAGAATGTGACCCTTGCCCCCCCCCCTTCCCCACGAGAACGTAGGCGCGAGAGCGACAACTACACCACATCGCAAAATACTTGCGCGTGCCTCCTGGCTGTGCGGACCGCCACGCATCTTGCTGTCGCTGGACTGCTCCTCCCCGCCCTCTCCTCCTCCTCGTCCATCTGGCTATCCGATGCTCTGGGCTTACATGTCCCACCCAGAGGCGCCTGATCCCGGCTCCTCCTCCTCCTCCTCCGATGGTGTGCCGCCGCCGAGCTGCCAGCGGTGGCCGTTGAGCTCGGCGTTCCGCGCGGCAATGCGCAGGGCCTCCGAGGAGGAGTCCACGGCCACGACCTGAGGGCGCATGCCTCCGTAGCCCGACGGGGGTGGCCAGAGCGGCAGGGGAGCAACGTCCTGGGGCCTCGAGGGGGGCAGTGGGAAGAACCTCGGCCCCCCCAGACCGTGCGGTGACTGACCGCTTGGTGACCTCGGAACCCCTGACAGCCTCACCGCGCAGTCCGTCCGCACACGGTTTTGGAACTCCGAATGTCCCAGTCACCCGAGACGTCGTCGGAGAACGACCCGAGTCCCAAAGCCGTGCGGGGACCCCGAACACCCACTGGCTCACCACGCGCTGTGGCCACCACACAGCTTGGGGCCCCCCGAAGAGCTAGGAGGGATGGCTGCAATCCCAGAGCTCCCACGGCCAGCGATGGTTAAACAATCCTCTGCGGAGATCGTGTCCGTGCCGGTGGCCAGCTGCGACTCACCACGCGGCACGCACGGCCGGCCGAGCAAGAGAAAAGGGCGCCGGGTGGCCGCGCTCCTGTGCAGTCTCCCGCCGCCTCGGTTATGCGTGTGCGTGCGCGTTAACGAATGCATCGACGCGCGCGGCGCGCGCGCGGACGCAGATGCGTGCGTCAATGGGTCTACACGTGCCTGCACGGATGCACACATACATGAATCCGCGCGTCCTTGCATGAATGTGTACACGAATACATGGATAGATTCTCTGTCGCAGGCGTTCGCGTATGCATGGTTGCAGACACGCGCGTCTGGGGGCCAATACGCGTGCGCACCGTCCAGACAAGGCGGTGACACTGCGGTGACACTGCACTCGCAACGCCTTCTTGCCACTACTGCCTCGAGCCTGGCTGGCGAGTTGACCTGGGCTCAATCGCAAAACAATCGCACACAATGTCCCGATACCGACCATACAGCGTCCTTGAATCACGTGCTCCTCATTCTCCGTCTCCTCCTTCGCCTCCTCGACCCCGACCCCGTCAGCACCCGGTGAGTGCAAACCTGCCCTTGTGCGCGAACACGTGTGTGCAGGTGGTGGTACAGCGGACACCTTTGCACGCGAGATCGCGTATGACCCCAACGCGCAGACCGTACCTACCTGGTGTGATTTCCAACAACTAATGTCAACGTGAGGGGGCAAAACCGTCTTACAATACCCCTTTCGGTGTGGCTGGAGTGGGGTTCCGCAATGCGGAGGGTCGTTCTTCTTCCTCTTGCCGTCGTCACTCGCCCCGCGACCCACCCGCGACCCACCCCGCGACACCCCCGCGACCCTCCCGCGGCTCACATCCACGACCCACGTTCGCGACCCACACCCGCGAACCTCCGGCGATCCACGCACCCTGACGGGCTGGTCGTGCAAGCAAAAAAGCTCGGTGCCTGCGGCGGTCTTCTGCACATTGGCTTTTCAACCTCGCGACCCGCAGAAGACCCGCCCCGCAACCCGTTCACATTGAAACGAACCACGCCCGTGGCGGGCTGGTTGCTTAGACTGAAGCCAGCGCGCCCCTCATTAATGGACCGCTTCCTAAGCGGCACCGCTTGGCATTTTGCTTGATTGGCGTTGCTTGGCATTGCTGGGTGTTGCTTGACACCGCTTGGCGTTGCATCGCGCTGCGTGGCATTGCTTGGCGTTGCTGTGCGTGGCTTGGCCGTGCCTGGCATTGCGTGGCGTTGTTTGGCGCTGCTTGACGTTGGCACGCGTTGCTTGGCGGTGCTTGGCACGCCTTGGGGTTGGTTGGCAGTGCCCAGAAACAAGACAAGCAAACAGAAACACACCTCTCCAACAAAGTAAAGAAACAAGACCAATCACCCCATGGAATAACTCTTTAAAACATGTAACGAAACAACAACAAACAACCCTGGGGAGGTCTTTTCAAAAACAATAGGGACGCAAGACCAAGCAACCACTGGAAGGCCCCTTCAAACACAATCAGGAAACAATACCAAACATCCCGGGGAAAGCCGGCCAGCCAGACCGGGTTCCTACCTCTCCTTGACACACCAGTAAGATCCCATTCGGCAAAGCCGAACTGGGCGAAAGGAACAGGCGCCCGCGGCGAGCCTCTCTGCACTGGCGTTCGAGCCCCGCGGCTCTGGCAGGGCAGCGTGGCTCACTATTACCCGCAGGCTTGTGGTCCTTCCCTCCTCCCCACGTCTCCTCCCCTCCCCATCCCACGCCGCGAGATTCTAGAATTGCGAGCTGCAGGGCTCCAAGAAGTCCTGAGGGAAGCGAGTGCTAGACCTTGGGGGCTCTGCTCAAGGCAAGTCCTTCATCCTGAGTCGACCTTTGACGGTCCCGTGGCACGTCAGGGGCCAGGCAGCCCCGAAGGGGGCGAAACATTCCAGGAGCCTTCTTTCCTCCAGGACTGGGGCACAAACAAGAAGTGACATAACAGAGTGACATAGTCGAGCTTGAGATCACGCTGGATTGAGAAACCGTGAGACCGCGGCCGCTCCCGGCTCGACCCGGCACGATCCCGCTCCCTGCCAGCGGGCCCTGCGCCCGTGATAGCGGGCGCCCGCGCAGGGCTGTCGACAGCGCACCGCCGCGGTTATGTGCTGCGTCCGCGGCCGACTCCCATCCGCACCATCCTCGCCCTCCGCCCCCTCCCCATCCCCCTCCTCACCTCCCCCCCGCCCTCCCCAAACATGCATCCGCTGCGTCGACCTGGCGTGCACGTACACTTCCTAAGGTCCGCGCGGACTTCCTGGATCGGCGCTGGCCCCCCTCCCTGGCGCGCGGAGCGCGCCCTGGGCGGCGCCTGAGGCGCCGCCAGGGAAATCCAGCGCAGATTCAAAACATCCACACGACATTCCGAAAAATAATTCATGTTGCTCCCATCGTGCTTAAGGACTACATGCCAGACATAATTTCGAGCACCCGGAGAAGTGTCGAAAGAGTGCCGCAACAGTGTCGAAACAGTGTCTCCCAGGCCCCGACACGTGAACACCCTCGAGCTTCGGTACTGTTTTGGTGCTCGAAATTTCTTCCTGGTGGTCAAGGCTAAAGTGGGTGGGAACATCATACAAAAATACAGTGGATGCTGATTCGTCTCCTTCGACTGGCCCCTGATGGGCCTGTTTTCCACCATCACCACCACCATAAGTTGGAGGGGAGAAGGGGTCCTCCTCCCCCTCTTCTTCTTCCTCCTCCTCCTCCTCCTCCACCTCCTTCCCCCCTCCAGCTCATGGTGGTGGCGGTGGAGAACCAGCCCGTCAGCCCTGCCTCCTCAGGTAAAAAGGGTCGCCTCTGCAGCCCCGCCGCGGAGCGCGAACAGGGCGAACGCGCCGTGGTAGCAGCACAGGTCCAGGACGCGCGGGGGGGGCGATCGTGCTGCCACCAGGTCCTCGCGGGGCTTACTGAACGGGCCCTGGGACACACAAATGAATACACACAATTCCCAGGATTTCAATTTTTTTTACATATTTCGTGGACTTTCGTCTTCCCCCCCACACTTCCCATATTTTCCCATGTTTTCTGGGGAATCGACGATTAATTGTGTCTGTGTGTTTTCCTCTCCAGATTTACGCACGAGTGGAACTCGCTCGACCATGTTGAACACGAGTGGGGCACGCACTAAATCACGCCAGAATCGTTGAAGACACCATCCATTACGAAAACTTCCAAATTCCTTGGCGCCCCCCCTGGCGAACTTACCCCTCAAACTCTAGGATTCTTGTGTAGGTTCAAAAGTAATTGGATGGGTCCGCGGGGGGTTCGCCGTGTGCCCCGCCCGTTGCCGAGTTGGAGGCCGGTCGCGGGCGTCTCGTTGGTGTGGGCGGTGTTGGGGCGGTTTGGGGGGCCTCTTCGGCTGTGTTGGAGCGTTGGACGCATGAAATGGTGAGAAGGCCAAACACATACAAACAAAACAATATAACATTCACGATTTAAAATTCCCCGGGCGCTCTCGGGAGGCCTCCCGGAGCTCTCTTGAGGTCTCTTGGAGGCTTTCTGGGAGCCTGGAGAGCCGACCGAAAGCTATCTTGGGTTGCTTGGGAGCGTCTTGGGCCTTTCTTTTGCGTTCTGGAAGCTTCTTGGGGTCGTCTTAGGCTGTCCGTGGGCGTTTTGGGGGTCCCCCGGGGCCGGAACGCGTGGTACCGGGAGCGTTCCGCAGATGTTCGGCGGGGGCGGATTTGTTGAACTTGTTAAAAAAAGGGGATATCTGGATTTCTTTTTCTCAAGTTCCTCGGACTTTGAGCGTTGGAAGCGGGACAACGTGAGGAGGCGAAAAACGTGGGGAAAAAAGCAAGTGAAATCAACGATTTTATCCTGTTCGGACTCTCTCGGGACGGCTCGCGAAGCTCTCTTGGGCTCTTTTTGAAGCCACGTCTGGTTTTTTGGGGGTCCTTTCAAGGGTCTGGGGTGTGTTGGGGGCTTCGGAGTCCTCTCGGAGGTCCCTGGAGGCCGCCTGCTCCCGCCCTTGGGCTCATCTTGGGCCCGTTCTGGGGTGGTATGGAGCTGTCCTGGGCGCCTCCTCCGCAGCCTTGGGGCCTTCTTGGCCCAGTTTGGGGCCGTCTTGGGAACCTCTTGGGTGGTCTTGGGGCCGTCTTGGGGGCCTCTTCGGCCGTGTTGGAGCGTTGGAAGCATGAAATGGTGAGAAGGCCAAAAGCCGAGAAACAATTTATGGAAATTAACGAGTTTAGGTTCTTCAGGCGCTCCCGGGATGCCTCCCAGAGCTCTCTTGAGGTCTCTTGGATGCCTCCTGGGAGCCTGGAGAACCGCCCGAAAGCTATCTTGGGCTGCTTGGGAGCATGGGCCGCTCTTTTACGTTATGTGGGTTTTTTGGGGGTCGTCTTGGGCTGTCCTTGGGCGTTTTTTGTGGGCTCCCCGGGAGGCCGGGAAGCGCGGTACCGGGAGCGTAATCCAGATGTCATCGAGGCCAGGATGGGGCCCAGCTTATTTGTCTGTTCTCTCTCTCTCTCTCTCTCTCTATATATATATACATATATGTGATGAAATGGGCCCACCCATTGTCTTGAACAGCTCTTCTGGTCCATTCGCCTCGGGCAACGCTTCCTCCATCCGATCTCTCTCTCTCTCTCTCTCT